ACATGAATTACTTTAAAATACTATTACAACTACTGCGTTCTTCTGGGTAGCTATATATTGATCTTCTGCACAAGACGTTCTGCCCATATGAAAGTGCTAAAATGATTTTATCCACTAAAAGAACATTAGAGGATGTAAAAAGCAACTTTGATTTTATGTTGCTTGTGATATTTTTCCTTGGATTTTATATCTCAACAGACCTTGTAAATTTTTTAAGTTTTGTTCTGTTCCACTGCAGACAAATGGATTTCACATCAGTTTGAAACAGAAGCTTAAAAATGTCCTGATGATCTTACTTTGTGTGCCCTCTTTTTGAGAAACTGTAGAAAATAAAACGTAGTTGAAGGGCATGTTTGTTTACATTACACAGAAACTATGGCTATTTACTTTAATCGTTTTTGTCTTTAACTTGGATTTTATGGGGTTTTTGGTAGTATACACGTATGCTGTCACAGTTGGTGGATTAAAATGTAATTCAGTGTATTTGTAGACTTCTGTTGTTGTGATTAACTTTTGTTTTCTTACCAAAGAAAAATACTCAGCATTTTGCCTTTTAAGCTTTAGCCGTGTATTTGTTGAATACAAGCAGTAAACCAGATTATTTGCAGGTGTCTTGTACGTTCCTTTAATGGATACAGCCCAACATGGAATGATTCAGACATTGTAAGGGAGCAACATTCTCTTGACCATTAGTGTCGCATAAAGGCACGACAAAACTGGCAGTCATGATCTGTAAGGTTATTACATGCAAAAGTCCCTCCTGTGTGTGGGCTGAAGTTATTCTGTGTTTGAATGGACGTCACTGGGGTCCTTTGAAAGTGCAAGGATGCTTCCTGCAGCCAGATCTCTTTGGAGTTTAAATGCAGTAGTATAAAAGCCTAGACTTTGTGGAGGTTGATACTATTTTAGAAAAGGCTTTTTACCTGTCACATGCATGAGAACTTAACAGGCTTTTCTTTGAGTCCTGACTGAAACAGAAGCACAGATGTCACTGCTCAAATTCCTTTAGTTAGCAGTGAAACTAGCAGGAATCAGATCATCTGTAAGCAGTGGCTGGGAAGGAAAGGTAAAAAGCAGTTACTCATTAAGGAGTAACTGTGTGAATGTCATCTTTGGGGGCCATAAGGAATTTTGGGCAGGGATACTTCAAACTGATCGTGCACTGCTTGTCTAGCTGGCAGCCACATATAACCTTTGAGCAAAGTCCAAGAACAGGGTTTTGGTAGGAATCCTCAGCTCTGTAGTCCAGGCAGTGTGGGACGAAGGTTGTTGTTGTTTCCCATGGACATTATCCAGGAGAGTGGAGCCCTCATACGGCTATTAGCTATCCAGAAAACGTTGATGACCAGTGTGCAGAGCTGATCTTTGAATCTGAGGTGACTGAAAATTGAGTGTAGAAGATAAGGAAAAACAACTATATAGTCAGAGTTGGCAGATCATTTTTTTTTTTTTTCCCCTAAACTGGGAAAGCTTACTCCCCTAGACCGGGGGAGTTTCAGTCAGAGGCCAGAAAAAAAAATACTTGGGGGAAAAAAAGCCCAAGTATTTTTTTAATTTTTATTTTTAATCTTTCACCAAAGTATCTGATACTAGTCACAGGCAAGAATGATTTATTGAATTAGAATTATCAAATTTGGTACTTGATGGGGAGAGGCAAATTTTTATTTTAAAATTAATATTATATCATCAGATGTTCATTGGAAAGATATAATTATTATAGTTTTAAGAATCTACACAATGTAGCTTTTCACTTAAAGAAGTTATTCTGTGTTTTTAAAAGTAAGTTTGCCTCCTGTCTCTTATAACATCCTCGTTATAAAAGGTAGCTTGGATACCACACAAACTTGATCAAAGGCTTGCAGATCTGATTTTTTCCTTTTCCCCTTACTCCAAGGGGTAAGACTTACTAGAAAATTTGTTGCATTTGTTTTCCATTGGTTTTCACTTGTATATTTTTAGTGAGAAAGATAAATAAAATTCTGTCTTCCCTTTTAAGTAGTGTTAAAGTTGAGATATTTTAAATGGATTGCATTGCATTACAGCATATACAATTGCAGTGTAAGGTATTTGTTGCCTGATGACTACAGGATTAAAGGTTATAGGGTGCTCTGGCTTCTGTATTGCACACTTAAAACAATAATAGACTGTTAGAGCTCGGCTTCTAGAAATAGCCCTTAAAAGTGCAGAAGGCTTGGAACCTGTTCCTGCTTGAAGTGTGGGTTTTTAATGTGATGAAAGAAGAGCTAAAATAGGATAATAAAAACTCAGCAGTAATTTTGTCTCTTGCTGTCCTGTAGTAGGCCTTCAAAGAGTTGTCCAGTCACTTAGGATGTGGAGTGTTTTGTCCACGTTGGCAAGCTTCTGCGGAAACATTCATCAAATATAAAGAAAGGGCTTTGGCACTTATTCACTAAAAATAAACTTGTATTTGACCAGTAAAAAATATAGCTATTCCAGAAAAAGATTATGGCTGAACATTGTGATTTATTGCATCTTAATATATTACTGAATGCTATACTGATTAGTGTCACTAGCTGCTTGACTCTCGGCAAATTCGATGTTCTTTTTAAAAAGGTTTTATATTGTTGTTATCACTTAGGGAGCCCCAAGCACAGGAAGATCTCATGTGCATATATAGGATTTAAATTTTATCGTAAAAGTGATTAAGCTGCAAGTTTTTGATCTAATAAATTGCATTCTCCTTTTATGTGACAACACGCAAACCCCACTACCTTTTGTGCTCTTGGGCATCCATGGTGAAGCCCTTGTAAACCTGTTACTTGACTTTTTGTTGTATGTCATTGCTTTTAGAGTTTACCCTTGCAAGAGTAGGGCAGAACAAAGCCTCTTGAGGTTTTACAGAATATTCACTATTAAAAGGGCTATGCATACTATGTGTACATGTTAAAAAAACAAAACAAACAAAAAACTGGTGATTAAAGGCATGTACTTTGTCAAAAAAAGAAAAGAAAAGCTAAGGTCATAAGTGTGACTCTGCCCTATAATGCAGCTGAGTCTGTGGTGATGCAGCAGTCTGGCTGTGTGGAGCTGATTTGAGGAAGCTGGTAATTGATGCAGAAAATTACTGGGTTTGTTTCATCTTCATTTGGGATATAATTCAATGGTTTGTTTTAATATATCTGAGTTTACAATATATTTTTAAAAACTGGAACTAAAAATGCATTAGTCACTTCTGGAAGTCATTCCACATGGCTTTGTCAGCGTAAGTGACTTTTGTGAAAGTTTGGGCTCAATATTGTAAGGTGCTGATTGTCTGCTGTGAAACTCGAAGCGTGCACAAGTTGTCAGCAGTGGGTCTTTGCAGGACCTGCTCTGATGGCTTGACCTTTACCTGGAACCACTTTTGAAAATCTGAGTTTCAGAAACATGTTTGTAGCAAAGGTCTAATGTGAGAAACTTATTCAAGAGACTGAAATAAAGCAGCAACACATTGTAACTTTAAAAGTAGTATAACCTAACTAATATCACTGTGTTTAAGTCTGCAGTGTGTGCTAAAATTTTGGCTTCAGCTAAGTGTTGTAGATATAGGGTTGTTTTGGTTTGGGGAGGATTTTTTTAATTTTTTTTTTAAGTGATCTTAAATTAAAGGGTATTGGTCTGTTTAGTATGTTATGTGGGTATCAGTTTAAGCCAAATGTGATGCTCTTGTGGTTTTTTTTTTTAAAGGTGTAACTCTGAAGCTGGTAACTTAACTACTCTTACAAATAATAGTGTTCACATTCACTGTCATCAAGCAGCAGAAAACTGATTTTGACTTTTAGGGCAGATGAATTTGTGTTTTGAAGCAGTAGTTCATTTTTCTAATGATAATGTGATTGGACACTAATTATCCTTTGGAATGAAGAGCTTGAGCTCATACTGCTCCTAAACCATTCATTCTTTGGCTGAGGACAGTTTATCACGTCTAGAGATTTTTTTTGGCCTTTTTTCCCCATACTCCCTGAGAAGGAGCCATGCACTCGTATATTCTGTTCATTATTGTAATTTCCAAGTTTTGATTAGAATGCAAGGTAAAATACAAATGACATATTTGTGCCATGTAAGAAATCCAATCCTGACTTAAAAGTCAGAACTTTTATTTACCAAGTTATAACGTTAGGAGTATTTTTGCTTTGAACTTTAGAACTAAATTTGGATTTAGTGCAAGAGCTGTATGATTGCTTTCTCCTGATCAGCAGTTAGTTTTGTGTAACTAATACCCTTGAAATACTGAGTGTGCTTCTCGTCATCAAAAATATCCTTGGGAATCACTCTATGCTGATAAATTACTGGCAGCAAGTTCTCCATTCAGTTTTACGCTAGAGGAGAGAGAGATGTCTCTTGGTCTGGGCAAAAGGCCTGAAATTCCAGAGCTCTCACCTTGGCTACTCACTCCCCCGCCTGCCTTCGGCAAAATTACTTACCCTTTTTTTTTTTTTTAGCTTCAGTTGCTGCACCTGTGAAATGGAGACAATGTCTCCTCACAGGAATGTTTTGCAAATTATGTAGGTGGAGTTAAGCACCTTCAAAGTGAAAAAGCTCTTAAAAAAAAAAAAAAATCTTTTAAGATATTTCAGTGTTTAGCTCCCTGAAATGGATGACCCAGCCTAGTTTCTTGCTGCCATCAAGAGGCACATCAGGAGATCCTGTTCCTGGCAGTGTAGTCTTGCGCCCAGTCCTGCACTAGCTGGTGTTTCTGTCAGTTTGGTCAGCTGGGACTAAATGAATGCCAGCCTCTTGTTCAGCGATGGTAAGCTATTAAATGGCCTGTTCCGACGCATCCGTTGAGGCAATTAATGTATCAAATATTTTGATAGCCATGGGCTTTATTTAGGCATCTCAATTGCTTTTTTTTTTGGTAGGTGTAGCATTCTTCTATTAAGAGGAGAATGTTTTTTTTCCTTTTAAAAAACAAAAATTGGTTTAAATAGAAAGATGTCCCATCTTACAGCTGTATGTGAATTTGCTATGCCCTTCAGCTCTCTCTCCAAATATGCGATAAGAATACCCATTTTTTACTTCTGTGATTGCTTTGCCAGCATGATTTTTGTGATGATTTAACTCAGTTTTGTTACAATGTAAAGATGAAGGTAAGTTTAAATTTTAAAAAAGAGAGAAAATAACTGCTGGTCTGAGTGTCTAACTGCCCCAGCAGTTATAGAAGGTACTGACTTAAAAATATTAACAGTACTGATTTTTTTATTTTGTCCAGTAAAACATTTCTAGTTACGGTATTGTCTGTTTTTACTAGAATAAATTGAAATCATCACAGAAGGATAAAGTGCGTCAGTTTATGGTCTTCACACAATCTAGTGAAAAGACAGCAGTGAGTTGTCTGTCTCAAAATGACTGGAAGTTAGATGTTGCAACAGACAACTTTTTCCAAAATCCTGAACTTTATATACGAGAGAGCGTTAAAGGATCATTGGACAGAAAGAAGTTAGAACAACTGTATAACAGATACAAAGGTGAGTACCCTGAGTTTTAAGGCTTATTTCCTAGTTGTATGTATCTATTCTTAATTACAATGTATCATTGCAGCTGTGCTCTTGTGCTTGGTCTTAACTGACTCTTTCAGCTTTATTTTTCTATTACTAATAATACAAGTTAGAAGGGGAATATATGTAGGCTTCTGCTTCACAAGGATTACATGCTTTGTGCTCTAAATATATGTACATTTATACACGATTAGGGTCTGGAACTGGAGTTGTGTGTGCAGTGAGTAAACTGTAATGATTAACATGGATTTTAGGTGATTCTTCTGGGGAAAGCACATCACTCAGGACTCGCTCCTGACAAAGTGAAAGGTTGTATACCAAGGATTCTACCTTAATTTTTATTCATCTTGTGCTTATTATCAGATAGTTACAAACAGAGCGGAAAAGAAAACAAAGTCTCTTTATCTGTTATATAACCAGTGTTCAACTGGTGATATCCTACCACAAATAAAATGGATGCAGTATAGTAGAACAAATTTTGTGGTTTAGCACTTTAAAAAAAAAAAAAGTGCTACGTTTTCTGTCAGTTTTCATATGCATGCATAATCCAAATACCATTTTCCTGAAGTCTTTGTTGGCTTGCGTTAGTAGATCTTTGTTAGTGCACTTGAAATGTGAGCATCTCACTTCCAGACCAGATGTTGATTCCTTCGTGGAAAGAGGAGTGTGCCTGGCTGGCTTGGAATCGGTAATGGGGCAATGTAACTTTCCTCTTGGAGGTTACCGTGTCCAATCTCATGCATGCTGGTGATGCCAGAAAATGCATAAAACTAATGTCAACTTAGTAGTTTATGGGCAGATTTGATAATTGTATCAGTACAGCTTGCAAATGGACACTGCAGAATTGTTTATAATGGTACACAGATTGGCAATCTTACCAAAGATGCCAATAATTAAGTGTGGTGGTGGGAAAGGACCACTGTTCTCTCTATGGAATGAGTCAGAATATCATGCATATTATTCGGCAGAAAACAAATGTTTGCGGTGCTTTTGTCTCTCAATGAAAATAACATAAGCTTCATTGTATGGGAGGCTTTATTGTAGTAACTTCCTCAATTGTTAAAGCTTAACCGTTGAAAATACTAATTTAATTTTGTTTTTAAAATATTCACTTATAAGGGCTGATCCCAAAAGTGGCTTCTTGAAAACGTTTGCTTATCTTAAATACTCGTGTTGAATAAATTAGCTTTTTCAAAAATCTGTTTTTCTTGATACTTACTTTTATATTCCAAAGATCCTCAAGATGAAAATAAAATTGGTATAGATGGTATACAGCAGTTTTGTGATGATCTAGCTCTTGACCCAGCCAGCATTACTGTACTCATCATCGCATGGAAATTCCGAGCTGCAACACAGTGTGAATTTTCAAAGCTGGAATTCATGGATGGAATGACTGAGCTAGGGTAAGTGTGCACTATTAGACACTGACAGTGTACTCCAGTGTCAGAAACTGGAATGTACGGTGAAACAGCCCTATTTTGGGGAATTCACAATCACATTGTCCTTTCAGACTTCAGAGACTTTTCAGAGTCTAGCATCACTTGTCTGCCTCTGTAAAAATGCATCTGCTGTTTATGTGCTAGATGCTTAGTGACCAAAAAAAGGGAGGCAACTTTGAGTGCTACTTGCCTTGGTTGTGTATTTCAGTTAGTTGCCATAGAGCTACTCAAGTAGGTAAAGCAAGGATGTTGGTCTGCAGTCTTGAAGTCTAGTATACCTGGGTTTTCTCTGCTTTATGAGAATATAGCAGTCTTCATCACATTTTTCTAAAAATCTTGTGGATATAGAATCTGATATATCAGCTAGTATGTGCGAATGGCAATGTGAAGAAATACAACAATTTCATTTCTTTGTTGTTATAGGTGCAGACTAATTAAAGGCTTCCTGAATTTTGTTTTGATAATCGTATTGTATTCCACAAAAATTTTATAAATTTTTGTTTAAGTTATAACTCATATTTTATGGCAAAATGAGTAATACACAAATAAACATGCTTTTTAAAATGCAGATGTGACAGCATAGAAAAACTGAAGGCCCAGATTCCTAAAATGGAACAAGAATTAAAAGAGCCGGGAAGATTTAAGGATTTTTATCAGTTTACTTTCAACTTTGCAAAGAATCCAGGACAGAAAGGTTTAGGTATGTATTCTTAATCATAAACATTTGTTTGGTATCTGATGGGATATGGGAAATGACTGATTAAAGCAGTAAGTGAAAATACTATTGTGATCCAGTGAGTCTGAAAGATAGCCACCCTTGGGATAAAATACATCTCTCTGTTGTGAAAGACAGATGTCAATTTAAGGTGTTCGAATTGATAGAAATATCTGCATCATTAGTATAAACTACAAAATTTTATGAGAGAGGGTTTATTCTTTCCCTAAGAGTGTGTGCAATTCTCAGTAAGCACAATGGACTATGGTCTTACGTTAAAGGCATAATTATGCCATTTAGAATTTGCAGCACTGAACAGATTAATTGAATTTTCACTTTTAGGATAAATTTAAGCTGTAAAACTGATTTCCATGTAAGTACACTTGTACAGTGTCTTGTAACACCAAAAATGCTTGCAAATGTCTTGGCAAAATAGAATTGGAATAGTACAAATAGATTTCTATATCCTGGGCTTGATGCCTGTTGTTGTTGTTGTGCTGTTGGTAACAGGTGCCTACCTACAGCCTTCCCTCTCCCCGCGCCCCCCCCAGCTCACTGAATGTTTTTTTTTTCATTATTTCAGAGCTCTTCTGCTGATTGTGCTTTTGATTAGTATAACAGGTGAAGTGGAAGAATCACTTATTAAAAATAATTTTTTTGGAAAACAAAAACCAACACCAAAAACATGACAGAACACCACAGTTTGGATGGAACTAAATGAACAAACTATAGATCTGTCTATTCAAAACAGCAAAAATAAGGAAACAAAAATTTCTTTCAGGCAGTAATATTAACCAACCAGAATGCGTATTCATTTATATACAGTGCAGTTGAGCTATTAACCATAACTAGTATTTCATGACTCTGTAACTGTTAACTTCTTAAGTTAACTGTTCTGCTTTTGAGAAGAAATAGAATACTGAAAGGCCAGTAGGTTCTTCCTTGGCAGCTTGTGAATTTATTTTTCTCAGTAATGAAAATGCCTTAAACTGACTGCTGCTGACCAGCTTTGTATTCATGTGCTGTGAAAAGATGAGCATTCTGCTTTGGTTTTGTTGTCGTTTATATGTGGACCAACTTCTGGCTTAAAATTAATATTGAAAAATAAGTAAATCAGCAAAAGCTTCATGTCTCAATTTTGACTCTGTGTCATTCTTTAACATCTTTCTGTATCCTGTTTTTTGTTTTCAATTGGATTATGAGTTTCATTGTCTTTGAAGAAGCTAAAAGAGCACTGCTAAACTGTTTAAAAATACTTGTGCATGCATGTAGTCAGATCTGAATCCTGCAAATAAATGAATGGGCTGATTCTTATTTCTTGTAGAAAGTCTTTTTTTTCTTTTTTTTTTTTTGGGCTGCTACAAGGAAAATGTGGACAGTAATTGAATTGTGAGAGGATAGAAGTTAGGTTATAGAGAGTGTAAGTGTGGAATCAGTTCTGCAGTGTAAACAGTTGCAGGGTTTTTTTAGGGTTTTTTTGTTGTAACATTTGTATGTTGTTTTTAATCTTTAAACAGCTTCATACAACAAGGAGTATTTTGCAGAATCCCTGTAAGATGGTAAAAGTGAAATGACAAATCACAATGGTATCATAGTTACATGATAATTTTTAATTACATTTTCTCAAAGCTTCAGAATAACAGAACTGTTTGATGTAGTACTTGCCTCTTATTTTCTTCTCCATATTTCTAAGGTATAAGGGAGACTTGCATTCTTTTTCTGAAATTTTTTTTTCCCCTAGTCCTATATGGAAATGAATCTTTTGAGTATCCCAGATGGAACAGACTTCAGTAAAAATTATTTACCAGGAAAACTAAGTCCCTTGCTTTATTTCTCATTCATCTTAAAGCTTCTTTATGCAGGTTAAGCTCTAACAGTGACAAAGACAAGTATAGTTTTCTCAGATTCATATAGCATATACGTAGTGTAAAATTTTATTTTATTTTTTTTTACTTTAAGTCTGGGTCTGGAAGTGATGTAGAACTAAGCTCAAAATCTGTATGCTTACCAACCCTTTTGGTGCCAATAAATACACAGTTCTAGGCATGAATTTACAATAGGGCAGGATAATTCTGGAAACCCTGAAGCAAAAGAATATAGGGAGAAGTACAGTGCTGAAAAGTAAGTGCTCCTAGTAAGGCAATTAATTTTGGAGTGTCTAAATTACTGCTTGTAGGAACTTGCAAATTGAATTTAATGTATATTGGTCTCTAATCTTCCAAACATTGTATAGTAGTTCAGGCACAGTTCTGGATACGCATTTCCTCTGCATAATTCTTTACTACCATGTAAGTACTGTGGATGTCTTAAAAGTTCTTGTGATATTTGCATATCATTTGAGAATACCTTTTAGCTGATGTTCATCTCAAACATTGTTTGCTTCTCTTGCATCTCTCTGGATAAAACTCAAAACACAGCATGTCTTCTGAGACTTTCATATTTGATCCATGAGGACTTTCCTGAGTAATCTTTTACTTTCTTATGAAAACCTAAAATTATATCTTTACTTTCAAATTTTGTGATTTCATAAAACTTCTTTTAAAACATATAGTTTGTCCTAAGGCATTATGTCTCTGTGCTTTACATGTTTGGACTCACTTAATGAGTTTGAGATTGCAGTATCCTGAGATCTGTTTTTTAAAGGCCTTTGCTTACCCACAAGAATAATCTCAAAATTGTATAAGCATGTCAAAATGCAGAATTTGTTTATAGTGTTTGTTTATAAACCATTATAAATATGCAGTGATTTGATGAGCTTGCATTTTTTGGTATGCCTGCTATTAATGCATCACAAGTAAATAAAACAGTTTTCTAATCTGTTTCCTTGAGAAACTGATCAGCTTAATCTGAAGTTTGTATCTATTCATTTTTAGAAAGACAGTAGTTTTAGTTGAAAGCTGAAGTGCGTATTTTTGTATCTGAATCTTCTGTTAAACTCTTTAATAAGTTGTCATTTTCACATATAGCTTACTTACTTGAGGAGTAGTGACTTGTGTTTAATTAGTCTCTGCTTCTCGAAACTCAAACTTACACTTTTGTCTGAAATCACACCCCTTTGCAGCTGCTGGAAGATCCTCCACAAATTTTATTCTTTACTTTGGTCAGGAAGCATTAGAATGTGAATATGCTGTTCGAGAAGAACTTTTAAAATCAAAGATACTAAACTATTCATAAACTCCCCCCATTACTATTTATTTTCCCTCCAGCAATGCAGACTTCATGCTTTGTTTTGCTTGCTATTGATTTCACCTCTAAGGTCCACCTCCCTGTTTTTTTAAATAGTTTGGGCATCTGGGGGAAGGGAGTGGTTTTCTTGGGTTGTGTCAGGTTCTTTCTTTTTCTTTTTTTCCTGAGGTGCAGTTGATCATGTGCCTCTGCTCTCACAAGAGGATTGTTTATGGAAGAAGAGATTTGCTAGACTGCAAAATATATAAGAGCTTTTGTTAAAAAAGAGGTCACTTAACTAGGTAGCCTTTTGGGGTTACTGTATGTACTTGGTGATGGATACTGAATTCAGTAAAATCACAGTTAGTAGCATTTAGTTATACAGTACAGAGGTCCTTGTTAGTTCCTGGTAATGCAGATCATGCTAGGTAGAGATTTAGAGCTCAGATGCATAACTTTCTTTTATCAGCTAACATGTTACTGTACGCCACTAATAAACAGTAAATAATGCATGTCAGTTTAGCCTTTGGCAAATACCAGGGAGGTGAGGGGTGGGTTTTTTTGCCTTACGTGCTAGACTAACCAGTCTCTTTTTCCAACTGCTACACTCTAACAGCACCCACTGTTGACAGCAGCACGCAGTTGCCTGACAGGCAGTAGGTGGTTGTTCCTGAACTGTGCCAGTTGAGGTTTCTCGGTCATCCTGAGAAACAGATTCAAAACAAGCAAGAACTTAACAGGAGTCTTTGGGGTGTGTGGGGGGAACCCAAAAGAAACCAAACCAACAAAACCCCTCCAAAACCCCAACCCAACCAAAAAAAGACCACCAACAAACAAACCAACTGTCAACCATCTGCTTGTACAGTACTTAAAGATTTTTTTCAAAAGGAAACCTGGTTGCAGAAATGAACACTTGACAAAAGCTATGTTACAAAGCCAGCACCTGTAACAAGGTTGCTCTAAAAATGAAATCATAAAAAAGCTAGTTTTATGTAAATTGTATTTTATATATTAAAAAAAATTAAAGCAGATCTTACTACAAAATACTACAAATTTTCTTTTCAAGTCAATAGCATTTTTAAGACAAAAATATTTCACTGAATTTTAACTAAGGTATTGTTAAATAGCAAAAGGCACATTAAATATCTTTGCGTATTTTGGATATGTTAGCTATTAATACGGGAAATTTTCAGTTCTTCTATATTCAAGTGATAGTATAAAAATCTATAAAATATGTGTGACACTTTATGGTTGCCTTTTTGTAAAGGATCCATGAATATATTTGCATTAGATTACTCTTTTCACCTTTATGAATATATGGTTCATCTTAGTGTTAGATACCTGTGAATTTTTGTAGGTAATTTTAAATCTTTACATAAACGACTGTAGTAATTTCAAAGCTTGGAAGATAAATATGTTTTAAATTATTGAGTAGATGAAATAGACTATTTTGACCCAGATCCCAGATACTGCACTTCGTAGTGTGTACAAGAGAAATATGTTTTGGGGATGTGGATGCGTCCAAGACAGTAAAAATGAATGTGTATAAGGGTTTTTAATTTATTTTTTTAAATATAAATTTTCCACCCCTCCAAACAGGAACATCATAAAAGATCAATTCCTAAGGATACCTGGAACCTTCTTCTAGACTTTAGTACAATGATAGCAGACGATATGTCTAACTATGATGAGGAAGGTAAACATTTCCATTTTCTTTCTTTAACTTCTAACTGTGTTTTATGCTACCTTTATTACTGTGTATCTGCTTTGGTGCAGCTGTCTAGTAACAGCATAATTAGAATTTTACTGGTGATCTAAAGTCCAGTTAGAGCTACTTTAATGCATGTTGTCATCATCTGTTTATTACTGCAGGTTTAAAAAAGAAATGCTGAAACTTTCTTAAATCCATTTTCTTTTTTTCTTCTGTCTAAGCTCAGATACTAATTCTTTATTATTGAGACAAACCCTGACATTTGTCCATTTAAAAAACACAGATTCTCTGTGAGCGCAGTTCTTGGCATCTTCAACTAAGTAACTGATTCATGGCCTGTGCATTTCTTTGTAGGGTCCTCTGGTTATTGCATTTCATAGCTGAGAGTATTTTTTAAGTTTGGTTGCTTCAGTTTATGTGAAGATTGGACATGTAATAATATTAAAGTGAAGCTGGCAGCATACAGGGATTACTAAACATAAGTTATTTCCTACCAAATGTGTTTCTTGTAAACTTTTGTATTGATCTTTCCTCTTCCAGTCCATCTGTAGCCAAGAACAGCTAATTACCTTCAATCGTTGGCGGCAGATCAGTTCAGTGAGTGGAGGAAACTGTAAACTTCTGATACTTCCAGAGCAGAGGGGAGCAAACTTCTACAACTTTATTTAATAATTATGGACAGTTCTCATTCCCTCATCATTGAACAAATGGGCTGCTGCCCACAATAAATCAATGTAGTTTAGAAAGATTAAAGGCAGAAAACATGTTTTAATGATTTGGAATAAAAATATTTTAAGGGAGGGGGGAAAAACCCAGCCCACAATTATTTTTAACCTTCACATGACCATCATGGACATGGCTGGGGACCTCTTTGGATATCGCTGCCCATAACATGTAAAATACTGATATGCATTTTAACTACCTCTTGCTAAGGAATATGGAAGAGTATATATAGCGTAATACCAGCCTTCTAGGGCATTATACTATATTGCTGGCTATCGGAGTGCATTTTGTTGTTTTCAAGTATGGCTAAGTATGCTGATTCTAACAGATGAGCATTGCATTCATGCAAAATCAAATTGTGAGCAGTAAATGCTGTAGTATGTTAAGATATGCTGCTGTTTACAGCATAGACTGCTTCATCCAATGTTCAACGTTTTTTAAGCAGCTATTGCCATCCTGGAGATCAGGTTCTGGTGCCAAAACCAGGATGGTTGTAAGCTAGAATTTTTGTCAGCTTTTTTTTTTTTTTTCCTTCTTTTTTTGGTCAGGAAGATGAACGAAGTATGACCCTTGAAAGGGATGTGTATTAACTGGGTTTAAAGGAAGTAGAAATCTTTAACCAGGTCTTAAATTTCAAGCAAGAAAATCGAATTACAATTTTTTGCTTGAAACTATACCTAGTTAAGACTGGAAAGTAAATAATTCGTTTAGATCTGAAGCTTTAAAAAGAATGCCTTGTTGAACTGAGTTCTTATGTTCTGGTCTTTTTTTTTTTTTCTTTTAGGGGCATGGCCAGTACTTATTGATGACTTTGTGGAATTTGCACGCCCTCAAATTGCTGGGACAAAAAGTACGACAGTGTAGCACTAAAGGACCCTTCTAGAGTGTACATAGTCTGTACAAATACCTGAAATGGAAAATTGCACAGTCAATTTCTGCTGGCTGGACTGAACTGAAGATCAATCCTCACAATATGGCTGAGGGTTGAGACAAACCTTTAAGGATACATCTTGGACCATATCATATTTCATTCTTCTACTGGTGGTTTGGGCTTTTCTTCTAGTCTGGACCACTCTTGCCCGTTAAAATTCCAACATTGTGGATTTCATCATGGATTTTTTTTTTTTTTTGGTGGACCACCCTAGTTTCATCTCCCATAAATCCTAGAAGCTTTATAATTATTTTGAGGTTTCTGGTTTCACATAAAGCACAATGCTGGTCATCATCAGACAACTGTTGTATGGCATCTGAATTATACAGATCAACAACAAAACAATTTTTAAAAGAATCCTTAAATATACACTTGGGGCTAGTTGCAAAGACTGTATTGATAGCACTTCCTGTAAGAGTGATATATTTAAGTGTACTGGGTCCGATATTTTTTTCCTTTTCTTTTCTGGAAAAGTACAGGTATTGTCTAAGTGAGTTTGAGTATCTGGTAAAAACAATTACAGAAATAACCAAGAAAACGCAAGGTTGTTGATACTGGGGTATCTAGGTGCCTATCTGAATGGTTTGATTGTACATCAGCTGACTGTGAGAACAGTTGAAGTACGACGCAACTACTGTGCACTTAAAGCACCCGTGTTTAACGTTATAGTCAGCCTTCAGTGAGCGTCATTGAGATAAGCTGTGTGCGTCATGATAGAATCTAATATTCTCTAGGTTATTATCTAAGAAATCAAATTTCATTACAGTTTTGAAATGCTTATCTGTCCGTCAAAGAAAGGTTTTTCATTTCTGTGGAAATCTAAAACTTGAATATACTGAATTTGTGTCTTAAATGTTTGCTACACAATACAGTATTTTAAATTGAGACATGGAATTTTTATGGTTGAGGTATGGCGAAACAAATGGCCCTGTTGTACAAGAAGCTGGTGAGTGTGATGTGAATCTAGGTTTTGAAACCATTATCCCGAGAAGTAAGTTAAATCTTTATAACATAGTGGTACTGCCATTATGGATGACACCCATTTTTTTTAATCATTTTGTTGAGTTTTCCTGAAATTGACATATCACTGTGGTTGCCAAATACAGAAATTAAGAGTAAAGCTTTCCCAAACAAGCACAGATCAGATAGATATAAAATACTACACTGGCTTTGTTTGCTTAAATTATTTTGTTGATCCATCACTACTTCTTATTGTCTTACTGCATTTAACTAAATGGTTTGTTTTGTTCAAAACAGGTTTTATCAGATGCAATTCTTCTTTATTTTTAATATTACAAGAGCTCTTGAGCTGCTTTTGTGCTAAACGTGGTCTTTTACTCCTCACTTAGTTACTTGAAGAGATTTCTTTTGTGCTAAACGTGGTCTTTTACTCCTCACTTAGTTACTTGTGAAGAGATTTGATAAATACTACTCTCTAAAACAAGCTGGAAAATACCAAGCTCCAGGAAAAAAAGACGATAGTTACAAGTAAGGATAGAGGTTTAAGTCCGTGCTCTGAATAGTCCCATGACAAGGCCAGGATTATTTTTGAAATGAGTAACTGGTACTTGCACTGAACAGCAGAACACTTTTATGCAGATGCTAAAAGTATTTTAGGAAAAAATTGACTATTAAACTGCTAAAAATTTTTTATTTGTATTCTCTGAAGTTGACCATAAGGCTAGCTCCCCCTATCGCAGTGCTCTTTTAAGAAAATCCAATTATGCATTTATTTCAAGAATACAGTTCCACAAAAAACATTGCAAACTTTTTCCAGCTACTGGAATTGGCTATGCCAAAAAATGTGTGTTTTGCTGCTTTCAGTATTTCCTTTCTCAATTTTGTGTAAATATAAAGGGGGGATTTGCGCTTGCGGGGGGGTGGGGTGGAAAAAAGCTCAACAAGGTATCTATGCGTGCTGTTTTCTGTCTTGAGGGTTTTGGTACAGTTTCAGGTTGATTAGTTCAAGTATGCTGTGTTTGGAGAGGAGAACTGACTTGCTTTTTATCCCAATACAGACTTGTCCCTCAAAAAAGTCTGAGACTGGGGAGTGGCGTAATGCCGTGGTGTTTTAAAGAATATTCCTTTTGAATGCAAGATCTTTTCAACAAAATAGTGTTGTCATCAGTTTGGTACTACACGCTTATAATTACTGTGTAATTATAAAGAAATACATAAAACTTTGACTAATTATGTTGCAGAAAAGGGTTATTTGTGCTACGGTGGCATTTTAAACGTTTTTCAAAATGAGTGACTGAAGTTGAAAGAAACATTGATTTAACAGGGTGTTGTTCTAAGGACAAAATACCTGGTTACAGGGAATATTTTGTATCGAAATGTGCTCAGATGTGGCCATGTTTTTTTTCCTTTATATATTTGTGTGGGTTTTCTTTTTTTTTTTTTTTTTTAAGAATGCAGACAGTTGCTTACTTGGATTGCTTTAATTCGTAAGTGCTTATGTCTTCAATTTGATGATCTCCCCTTAAATGGATCGATTTAATTTTGCCAAATGTCAAGAAAAAAAAAGGCGAACATCAAGTTTGTAACCTGTTTTTATACATTAAATATGTACAAAATTAGAAGTGCCCTGATATAAAACACTTAATCTCGAGATTATATTTAGTAAAAAAACCCATCATTTACATATCTCTGTAAGTTCAAATGTAACTTCTTACAATCCCTCTCATTACCAACAGAGGCAATAAAGCTCCAGTGAAATTGCCACGACTAAGTCTTCTCATGCATTGTTTCAGTGTATTCTTTGTAAGATTTATTTCTAGAATGTGCTTTTAAGCAGGGGGGAAAAAAAAAAGTACAGAATACTTGTCTTCTGCATAAAATACACTTTATGGGTAGGTCTGTCTTTCTTTTGGGGGGGGTGAAATCTAAGAACTGCTGCAACACCTTGCCTACTGCTTACTCTAAATGTTTAGAAGTACAAAAGGGGGCTGATCTTTTCCAGCTATGCTGCATTGACGTTACCTAGCATGTGAAGGAAGTTGTTTAAATATGGTTGGAGACTACCATACATACCTAAAGTGATTTTTTATTATTGATCAACCTGTTAGTTTTGAGGCAAGTCATTGTTACTTACTGTTTTACAATGCAATCCGTACTGAGAAATCCTTATTTAAGAAATATATAATTTTTTAAGAATGCATTTAATAAACTTTTGTCATTCATACTTTATTTAAATAATGTTGCCAGAAGTCTCTGTAGATTTTATTCAAGTATGGTGCACAGACTCTGGTTTTTAAACCCACGGTGCTGTTCAGTCCCCTGAGCTCTCAAAGAGTAGACCACACCATTAAATACTTGATGAAATTATAATCTTATCTATCAGTAAGGTATCTAAGAGTTTTGCTCCTGACAGTTTAAACAGACACCTGTAACTCAAACTCAAGTCTGGCATTTAAACTGGTACAAAAAAATCAACTCCCTGCTTCTGGAAGTTCTTCCAGTAACTTGTATTCAAGTTCTCAATTTAACAAAAGCTGCCTAACTGTAATTTGAATGTTTTACATGAAATTACAACTGTTTCCTTTCTAAACTCACTTCTATGTCTTCAGAGTGTAAGATTTCAAGCTCCTTTGTTGAAGAACTCAGAGGACAACTGGCAATGGTGAGAATGAGAAAGCTGTACGTCAAATTAGGAACAGGAAGCCGCCCAGAAAGCCTGCGAGATGATGGAGCTGTGAAGGCTGCGGCTGGGCAGCTGCGGGAACACTCGGTTACGTTTGCTGTTGGAGAAACAGGAATGAAGCCCATGCTGGAATTCATCGCTAAGCATGCCTCATGGTGGGCTCCACCGTGAGCTGGAGCTGTTGGGCCAACTGAGTGCAGTTGCTGGGGGGGGAACCCCCCTTACACACACCTGTGTGTGTGTGTGCACACGCACGCTCTCCATGCTCACGTTGGTGCTCTTGAGTGTCTGTCTGTGATCCATGTAGGTGGCCATGCACATCTGTATGTACGTGCCTGCTGGGAATGTACCGTCAGCCTTGCTACTGAATGAGCCTGGGCACATGGAGCAGCACGCCTCGCTTTTCTCTGGTGTATTTCCCTCTAATGTTTACATAATTAAAACAATGACTCAGCTAGAAGTGAAAGTTTTATTTAATAAATATAATTTTCATAAACTGTTTTTAAAACAACTTCTACTGACCAAGCTGTACAATAAGCAAGCACACTGACTCGCTGTCAAGAGAATCAAAAATAACATGACGCAGCCACAGTGTCAGAGGTCCAAAATTCTTTGTACTAATTATTGCTACAGTTTCCAGTTGTCAATGCCCCTTATTTGCCTAAAATTAAAGATCAACATCTTTAAAAAGATACTTCTTGCCAAGATGAGATCATTCAAGTTCTTTTCTTCAAAAAAGACTCCGAACTTGCTCACACTTCAGTGAACAAACAGGAGTCTAGATGATTTGTTGTTTTTGTATGCATGGGACTGGAACTCTCTTATAGGAGCGTAACTGGGAATTTTAAAAATGTTTTCTTTGCTGCAATAATGCTCTCTTATTTATACCTGAAAGTGAGTCTCATTTTTAACCATTTTCCACTTCTAAACGATATGCCCCATGGATTATCTTTTATCACATTGCCAAAATGTAAAGAGGTTGAGAACCTACTGATGTATGAAATAATTTCCTTTAAAACCGCTGAGGAAAAATTAATATACACCACAATACAGGTGCACATCAGGGTTTCTTTCAGACAAGTCACACTTTGTGTCACAAATAGCAGTATATTTCATTTCTTTCCCCTTCATGTTACATATATACGGTTGGACTCGGTGATCTTAGAGGTCTTTTCCAACCTCAATGATTCTATGATTCTATGATATAGAGGCCCCTCCTCTTTTATTCATGTCTATGCATTTATACAAACTGGAAACAACAAAAAAAGTCCTATCTACAGTGATGACAATTGTACGTACTTATTGTAATACAACATCGTAGTGTGGCAACAGCTAGGGCAAGGTGAATACTTCAAAGTGATGAGAACGTTCCTTTTAACGGAAGCCACAGAAGCTTGGGCAGCACAAGGTCTCGCTGTTGAGTTTTTTCTGATGACTTTACGAGCTATTTAGAGGCCACGATATAGGTGCACATCAGGGTTTCTTTCAGACAAGTCATACTTTGTGTCACAAATAGCAGTATATTTCATTTCTTTCCCCTTCATGTTACATATAGAGGCCCCTCCTCTTTTATTCATGTCTATGCATTTATACAAACTGGAAACAACAAAAAAAGTCCTATCTACAGTGATGACAATTGTACGTACTTATTGTAATACAACATCGTAGTGTGGCAACAGCTAGGGCAAGGTGAATACTTCAAAGTGATGAGAACGTTCCTTTTAACGGAAGCCACAGAAGCTTGGGCAGCACAAGGTCTCGCTGTTGAGTTTTTTCTGATGACTTTACGAGCAGTATTTAGCTGAAGGAAAAAAAAAAAAAAAAAATCTACGGAAAGCAAAAGCTTTGCAAATACCGATGCGAATGCGCTTCTAAGACGACTGACGGCAAGAGTTGGTACAGCCATCTTCAACCTTTCCTCCTCCTGTTATAAATTGAGTCATTCCAATAGAGAGCAAAAACCAGACAAATCATGCCGCTGGAAGCAAACAGAAGCAAAGAACATACAAAACAACCAACAATAAAAACATTCACAGAAAAAAACCCCCAGATCTGCAAAGAAGAAAGTCTAGCTGGGAAATAATTTAGGAACAGAAAAAAGTCCACAATTAGTCCGTAATGACCGGTTTGCCCAGCTCTAGGAATAACGCCCTTAGAACAGCGATGTCTGTGTAACAAGGCAGTGGCGATGGTGTGAGTGTTACTGGGTATTGTACACCACGAAAACAGAATCTCAAAATGAATGGTCAGAGCACATTATGACTGAGCACTTTTGAACACCGAATTTCACCAAAATTACTAATATTTAGAAGTTCCGAAGTATCAGATAAAACTATTAAAAATAATGCAGACTACAGCTTTGAGACATTTAACACTAGAAAATGAGGTTTTTTTCCAGTATAGAGGTTATACTGTCATAAAAACCCCCATGTGTTTGAGAGTATTACCAAACATTTCCAGTAAGAAATTAGAGTTGCCTAGTACGCATTCTAAGTTGCATAATCTTGTCTCAAATCATCTTTTGCACTACAAAACGAAATCATTCTGAAAATGTAAAGCCAAAGTTTTCAGCATTCCTTCCTTTGCATTTGTTCCCCCTCCCCCTCATAACCTTAAAAAATACACAGAATATTTACATTTTAGTTTGTGAAACAGTTCAGAGCATCTTCCCACTTAATCTTTTCCACTGCACTC